CATTGAGCCCCAGACTGGACATACCCTTCTTCCTTGCTCGGCAGGGGTCTACATGGAAGCCCCCTCACCATCAGGGCTGGGAGGAACTTGAGACAGGGCCCAGAGTCTGTCTCTAGGGCTCCACCGTGTGAGGTAAATGGGAAGTGGGCAGTGGCAGGAACCAGGCCAGCCTTGACAGTAAGAGGAAACTTCGGGGGTCGGCGCTATGGTGTAGCAGATAAAGCTGTGCCGCCTGCAGTGCCGGCATCCCATGTGAGTGCCGATTCGAAACCCAGCTGCTCCACTTCTGATCCAGCTCCTTGCCATGGCCTGGAAAGGCAGCTGAAGATGGCCCAAGTCCTTGGGCCCCTGCACCCATGTGGGAAACCCAGAAGAGGCTCCTGGCTCCAGCCATTGCGGCCATCTGGGGTGTGAACCAGCAGATAGAAGACCTCTCTCTCTCTCTCTGCCTCTGACTCTCTGTAACTCTGCCTTTCAAATAATAAATAAATAAATCTTTTTTTTTTTTTTTTTGAAGAGAAAACTTCAGGAGTGGACCTGATTCTGAGCCACCAGTCTGAGACCCGGAGGGGCCAGGCCACCACATTTTTAACGATGTTTTCATTTATGTATTTAATTCACAAGGCAGATAGACAGATCTTCCACTCAACGGTCCACTCTCCAAACGCCTGCAACAGCTGGAGCTGGGCCAGGCTGAAGCCAGGAGCCCGGAGCTTCCGTGCAGGTCTCCCACGAGGGTGCCAGTGGCCCAGACACTTCAAGCACCACCCGCTGCTTCCCGGGTGGGCGCGAGCAGCCAAGCGGCACCGGAAGCGGAGCCAGACCTTGCACCCAGGCACTCTGACTGGGTGTGCGCGTCCCACATGACGCTCAGTGCCTGCCCCGTTCTGCCCGGTGTCCCGAACATTGCTGCTGCTCCGTCTCACACGGAGTCGAGCATTTGGGTGAACACTCTCGTTTGATCCCCGCAACGTGCCAGCACCAGGTGCTGTTCTTCCCATTTTACAGACGAGCAAACCGAGGCCTGCTCCTCCCTCACCGTTCTTCTTCGGACAATTCCGGAGGTGTTTTTAGCCCCACTCCTTTCGCATGGTGGTGGTGGCGGCGGGGGGGGGGCATTGGGACTCACAGAAGTCCTGGAACCTGCCCTGCCCTAGGTCACAGAGCCAGTGGAGAGATCACTGATGGGGAAATTGCAACCAAAGGGAAGCGAATTGCTCAAAGCCGCGGGGTCCGTTAGCAGCAGCCAACGAGCCACATCATGCAAAAAGTGCATCTTTTTTTTCCCAAAGAAGTTACCTGGGGAAAAAAAATCCTGGACGAACTGCTTCTGTGCGGCTGGCTTTGGCACGTGTGCTGCGGTGAGGACAGAGCCCACAGCGCCAGGGTGGGGTGTGCCAGGGCGGCCGGGGCAGGGGCGCAGGGGAGCAGGAAAGGGGCGCGGACCTCCCCTGCGGGTGGGGAACGGCTCCAGCCTCCGCCGCTCGGCCAGCGGGCGCCCCGGGCGCGGACGCGTCCCTTTCCCGGTCCGCTCCGCAGCAGGGGCACGGACGCGGGCTGCGATGCTCGCGCCCAAGGTGTTCTCAGTGCCGCCTCGCCTCCGCGCGTGGGCGCCGGCTCCTTCCCACTCACAGGTGGGCGTTCACCGCGCCCCGGGGCGGGCAAGGGCCTCGGTTTCCCACTCCGGGTGGAGTTGAGAAGTTGAACCGGGCTGCCCGGGCCCTCCCGCGGCGTCCGGGCAGGTGCGGGCGCTCCTCTTACCTCGGCCCCGGCCTGGGAAGCTCCAACTCCGCACGGCGACCCGCAGGGCCTCGCGGCCTCCCGGGGCCCGGCCCGCCGGCCCGCGCCGCCCGCCCGGGAGTTCGGAAGCCGCTCGCCCCGGAGCCCCGCCCGGTGCCGCGTCCCGGGCTCTCCCAGCGCTCTGCTGGTGCCGGCCGCCGCTCGCTCCGCCCCCGTCCCGCTCACTTCCAACCACGCCCCAGGACACGCCCCGGAGACCAGGCCCGCCTCCGGGCACGCCCCCGAAGGCCTGCCCCTCGCTCAGCCACGCCCCCACGACTCGCCCCCAAGGCGCGCTCGGCTCTGGGCCTTAAAGGCACAGGCTTCCTGCCTATCGCGCTGCCTCTGCCCCAGCCTGCAGGTTCTGAGATAGGAAACAGGTGGATAAGGCGGCCCAATTAGAGGGAGAAACGGGGGTTTCGAGTCCCGAGTGAGCAGGAAAGGGCCAACCTGCTCCGTAATGAATAGTTATAAGAGGTGTTTGAGAAGATCCCGGTTGGGGGGGGGGGGCCAGGAGGGCCCCACCCCACCCAGCAAGCACTTTAGAGAGAGACAGAGAGGCCCATGTTCCATCCATCCGCTGGTTCGCTCCCCAAATGGCCAGGCCGAAGCCAGGAGTCTGGAGCCGTCTGGGCCATCTTCCCTTGCTTTCCCAGGTGCATTAGGGAGCCTGGTCAAAAGTGGAGCAGCCGGGACTTGAACCCGTGCTCATATGGGATGCCGGCATTGCAGGCAGTGGCTTTACCTGCTACACTGCAATGCTGGCCCCAGCGTCACTTTTTTTTTTTTTTTAGATTTATTTATTTATTTGAAAGGCAGCGATAGAGAGGGAAGGAGGGAGAGAGAGAGAGACAAAGAAAGAGACTGTCCATCTACTGGGTCACTCCCCAAATGGCTGCGATGGCTGGGACTGGGCCAGGCCAAAGCCAGGAGCCAAGAGCTTCTTCTGGGTCTTCCATGGAGAGAATGGACCAAAGTACTTGGATCATCTTCTACCACTTCCCCAGGCACATTAACGGGGAGCTGATCAGAAGTAGAGCAGCTGGGACGCCAGCCAGTGCACATGCGGGATGCTGCCACTGCAGGTGGAAATTAAACCTTCCACTCCCCAGCACTGCTTTTTTTCTTTTAAAGTTTATTTATTTGAAAGGAGAGCTATAGAGAGGCAGAGAAAGAGAGAGTGAGAGAGAGGTCTTCCATCCACTGGTTCACTCCCCAATTGGCTACAACGGCCGAAGCTGCACTGATCCGAAGCCAGAGCCAGGAGCTTCTTCCAGGTCTCCCACACGAGTGCAGGGGCCCAAGGACTTAGGTCATCTTCTGCTGCTTTCCCAGGCCACAGCAGAGAGCTGGATCAGATGTGGAGCAGCCGGGACTTGAACCGGCGCCCATATGGGATGCCAGCACTGCAGGCGGTGACTTTATCCGCTACACCACAGCGCTGCCCCCTCAGCATTGCTTTTAAAAACAGAATGTGGGGAACTGGTCAAGACTGGTGGCTGCCGCCCTCCCCAGCCCCACAGGCTCCTGGGGAGGTTGAGGCAGCCTTGCCGCCCACCTTTCCTCCAGGGGGTGGGCTGGGCCCTGGTGAGGGGCCAGAAATGGAGGAGGCGAAGCAGGGGACAGGCGTGTCCGGCAGGCCGCTGCTGGGCCCACGCCCGCTCCTGGCCTCCTCTCCAACCCCCAGCATGCCTCCTTGCCCTGGGAGAGCTCTCTGCGCACTGCCCCCACTTCCACCTGACCCAGCGCAGGGCCCCGCCCGGGGGGGTCCTCCTCCCTCCTGCTGCCCCCCACGGGCTCCTAACTTCTGGAGGAGGGGCAGATGGCATGGAGGGCGGAGCCTGATGTGCTTGGAGCCCCGGGGCGCCGGGCCTCTGTGCCACCCATGGGAAACACTTTCCTTCCCTGTAACCAGGGGCTGGTCCCACCTATGGGGTCCTTGCGAGATGACACTGGGTGTGAAGCCCCAGACCTCATGCCTGGCGTGGACTGGGCACCCTTCGCAGAGGCCGCGGTCGTCACCACCATCCCACTACTACTGCAAAGTCCTCCTCCGCCCGAGAACCCTCCCGGCGCCGCCCGGCTCGGCCTGACGCTGTGTCCCGGCAGCCAGCACTAGAGCACCCACGGCTGGAGTCGTCCTGAGGGAATGACCCAGCCTGCTGCCCCCCAGGTCAGCTGCTGCACGGGGCTGCAGCTCCAGAACTGCTGACTTCAGGGCAAAGTCCTCCTTCCCCGTGGGTTCCGTGACCCCGGTGTTTAGGGGCCCAGCGAGGACAGGGCTGGGGGTCACCGTGCCGAGTCAGCTGCAAAGGCAGGGCCCCGCCTCCTTGTCTCCCAGGACTGGGGTGCGATGGGGGTGGGGCGGGGAGCAGAATGACCATTTGTTGAGAGGCCCCCGGGGACCGAGAAGGGGGCCGATGTGGCCTGGCCTGGCTCCAGTGCTCTGGGGGTCGGAGCCAGGGCCCACTTCCTGGCTTGGAACAGGCCCTTTCGACAGCACAGGAGCAGTGCCGGGGGCCACCCAGACCCAGGTCAATGCCAGCTCTGCTGTGCCCCGGCCACCCTGGAGCCATCATTTTATCCATTTGAGCCACACGTTCCTCATCTGAAAAATTGGGGCACCCGGTACTCAGCGGGCCATGGAGTGGGACACCCGGAAGCTGCCGCGGCTACGGTCACCATTGGGCCTCCGACCGCCGTCCGCCCCCTCCTGACTCTTGTGGACCTGACGCAGCGCCTGGCGCACAGTGCCCGGACACGGCCGTCCCCTCCCCTTGAGAAGGAAGCCTCCGCACCCCGATCCTGCGCCTAAGACACAAGGTCCAGGGGGTCGGCCTTTGGGAAGTGGCCGCTGCCGCCACGCCGCAGTCCAGGGAGGGAGCTGGGGAACACGGTGAGTGCGGGGGTGGGGGTGTAGTCCAGGGAGGCCGAGGAGCAAGGACCCTGGAGCCTGTGCCGCTGGGCACACAGGTGCCTTCGGCACCCCGGCAGGCTGTGCTGCACCCAACCCCAAACCAGCAGAAATGAGTGGGGTGGGGGCTGGGTGCAGTGGTCAAGATACCAGCTGGGATGCCGGCCTCCCAGACTACGGGGCCTGGGTTCGAGTCTCAGCTCCACTTCCTTTCCATCGCCTGGGAGGCAGCAGCTATGGTCCTGGGGAGCGAACCTCTCTCTCACTTGGCCTTTCAGATACGTAAATGAACACAACCAGAACACAGTTCCGAGACGTCCTTGTGACAGGGGCTTGCGTTTCTGCACCGCAGGTCCAGGGCAGGCGCCACTTAGCAGTCAGCAGCTCCAGCAGATGGCGCGGGCTTCGCGGCCGGCACTTGCTCCTGTCCGAGATGTGCATTTCCACGGGGCCATTGCCACTGGCACGGTCACCGGGTCAGCTTTGGCGAGACCCCGGCCATCGCCTCACTCTGTCAGCTTTGGGTCCCTTCTAGGTAGTGGTTACCAGCTGGATCTCCAGAGCGGCTAGACCCAGGGTGCACATTGGTAGGAAGCGGGGTGAGGAGCAGAGCCGGGACTGAGCCCCAGGCATCCTCAGGCAGCCCCGGGGTGGTGTCTCAGTGCACTCAGTGCCAACCCTCGTGCAGCCGGCTGGATCCTCCTGGCTCGGAGTGCTGACGTCACTCAGACCACGGACCCTAAGGAAACAGGGCTGGGGCAGGGACGCTTGCTGCGGGCGGCACCAGTCTGGCCTCTGTCCGCCAGGTGTGAAACACTGCCTGGGCAAGCAAGTGGGACCGGGCGAGGTGCGCCCCCTGGTGGCCGCAGTGGGTAGCATCCGCAGTGCTGTCTCTGCAGGCTTTGTGACGGGGACAAGTCAGGTCATCTGCTTGAACAGGTTTCCCCTTCTGCACAATTGGAACAGTGGCAGTGGGAACTTCCCGGGTGATTGTGACACCCAGTATATGATTAGCAAATATGGCGATGATGGGTACTGTGGGTACTGACAGCAACGGAGTCCTTTGAGAGGGTGAGGAGGGGGCTCAGCTCACCGGCAGTGCAGGCAGTGGGGGGAGGCGCCTGGAGGAAGCTTTGGGGGGTTACTCTGTGGCAAGCCAGGAGTCCTCCCCTCTCTCACGTCGCCACCCTGCCCTCAGGGTCCTCCCTTCTGTCCTCCCAACAAGGCAAGCTCCTCGGTGCCCCAGGACCCTTGCACACACTGCCGCCCTTGCTTCTGTCTGGAAGGCTCTTGCCCAAGATTTCTTCATGGCTGGCTGGTTCCTCTTCCTCATTCAGCTGTCCTGGCTTTGGCGTTTTTTTTTTTCTCTTTAAAAATGTTTTTTGAATTTTCATTTAAGTTGAAAGGCAGAGAAACAGAGATGGGGGGGATCTTTCACCTGCTGGTTTGCTCCTGGTGTCAGCGTCAGAGCCCACATGGGTCCACGGGTTCAGAATTGGCTTGCAGCATCGCTCGGCCGGAGAAAGACCGCAGGGTGTGGTGTGACCGCCACCTCCAGGCCATCGCCTGGCCTCCCTCTAGGGAGAAGAGACCCCGACTGGGTGTGCCGTGTGTCTGTGGGTAGCGCCTGCTGTGGACAAGGCAGCGTGATGTCAGAGCACTCAGGCGCCTGCAGCTTTATTCTTCAATGTGTGCTCACCGTTGTTTCTAGTTGAAAGGCAGAGACCGATGGAGAGACGGCTTCCATCTGCTGGTCCCCACCAGAGCACCCGACATCCTGGGCCGGGTCACGTGAAAGCCAGGAGCCCGGAACTCAATCAGGACCTCGCGGGCGGGGGCAGGGACCCCAGGACTCGAGCCGTGGCTGCTGCCTCCCAGGGTGCATGTGAGCAGGAAGCTGGATCGGAAGTGGAGCAGCGGGGGCTGGAACGAGGCGCTCTGGTAGGGCTGTGGGCACCCCAGGCAGCAACTTAGCTGCCGAGCCCAACACCTGCCCCCCAACGGTTTATTCAATGCCAGTCGCTTTGCCTTCTAAGTAAACAAATCTCTTTAAAAAATCGCACCCCTCACTCAGCCTCCCCCGTTCCTACTCTACATTCCTGTGACATCGCCTCCGTGGCGCGGCTGTCTGCACAGCTTCCATTTCTCCTATGGCGAATAAAGCGAGCGCCTCCCACCAGTTTAGGTCATTCTTGGCACCGGCGCTGGGGCCCTGTGGTGGGTAAGGCCACGGCCCTCAGCCGGGCATCCCATACGGACGCCAGTTCAAGTCCTGGCTGCCATACGTCCGATCCAGCTCCCTGCTAATGCACCTGGGAGAGCAGTAGAAGATGGTCCAAGTCCTTGGGCCCCTGCACCCACGTGGGAGACCTGGAAGAAGCTCCTGGCTCCTGGTTTTGGACCCATCCAGCTCCAGCTATTGCAGCCATTTAGGGAGTGAACCAGCGGATGGAAGACCTCTCTCTCTCTCTGTCTCTGTCTCTCCCTCTCTCTCCGTATCTCTGCCTTTCAAATAAATGAATACAATAAATCTTCTAAACATCATTCCTAACTTATTTTTTTTTTTAACAGTCAAGATGGCTCTCCAGGGCACACATGTTCTTAGGTCTTTTTTCAAGAATTGCACATTCATGGTTTTTCTTGCCCAGTTTTTCGGTCTGGTTTTCAGACTCCCCGCCCCCATCATGGCTCTGCGGTTCCGCGCTGAGGATCTTTGGATCTTTGCCCTTTTTCTGGACTCTACGCGATGCGAATGTTTTCTCCCACTTTGTCTCGAGCTTGACGCGAAGTTGCGGCCAATGCAGGCGTCAGGGCCGAGTTCTCAGCCCCCACCCCACCCCCCCAGACCCAGACGGAGGCGCCCGGGCTCCTCAGCCTCGCCTGCTCCGTCTCCTGCCCTGACATCCTGATCGGTTTAGTCCTGCACTTGATGCGAGGTAGGCGGGTTCTGAAATGATAAGTGACAAATTATTTAATTGGAACGACGGAGAGACAGACATCCACACGCACAGAGCGAGCTCCCGCCTGCTGGCCACCCCCCAGGCCCACACCGGCCGGGGCCCGGAGCTCCAACCGCGCGGGTGCAGGGCCCAGGCGCTGAGCCACCACCGTGGCCGCGAGCTGGAGCGGGCAGCGGCGTCCTGAGCCGGGGCGCGGACGCCCACCTCCGGGGGAAAGTTCCAGACCTACGAACCGCGATCAAGACCATGCTCGAGGGGACAGCGCGCAGTAGTTGGCGACCTGCCGCTCTACCCACGTCACGCGCGCCCGCGCCCCATCAGTGACGTCATAGTGCGTGTGAGCCACAGCCTCCCGCGTCCTCCGAATCCACTCCAGTGTGTGACAGCGAACGCAGAGCCGGTGCCGCCGCCGGTGCAGGCGCAGTGAAGTCTTCGAACTCTCTGGGCCCTGGAGGGCCGACCGTGAGGATGACGTCACTGCGTGGTGGTGACTTGGCTGAACTCATTCAGCAGCGTTAGGCAGATAGAGAAGTCACTTAAACGTGACAGTCAGTTCATGGCGGGCGTATGGGCATTGCCTACTATCGCAGCTTTTTTCGAGGTTGGACACTTGCAAAGTAAAAAGTTCTCGCTGGGTGTGCGTGGACCGAAAGCGGCGCCGGGCCCTTTAAGGCGCGCCCCGCCCCTTACCGCTCACCCCTCCCAGGGCCCGCCCATCCCGGAAACGCTCGGCCCAAGCCCCGCCCCCGGCGCGGCGCAGTCACGTGACGCGGGCTGCGGCGCGCCGCTCCCGCGGTCATGGTGGCGCCGAGGGACGGCTGTGCCGGCGGCCGCCTGGCCCGGGCGCTGGCTCTGGCCCTGCTCACCGGGCTGCTCTTGGGCGGCCTGGCGGGCGCGGCCCCGGCCCCGGGCGGCGGCGAGCAGCGCGACCCCCCGTCCCCGCCCGCCTCCTGCTGCCGCTCGGCCCTCTTGGACGCTGCGACGGGCCAGCTGCGCCTGGTGGACGGTCGCCACCCCGACGCCGTGGCCTGGGCCAACCTCACCAACGCCATCCACGAGACCGGGTGAGGGTTGGCCCGCCCCCGCGCGGGGGTCCGTTTCCCGCCCCGAGGCCGCAGGTCCCCGGCTGGGGTGGGGGTGGGGGCCCCCTGGAGCCGCCCCTCCCTCCTGGGGCCAGTCCCGGGCCCTCAGCACTTCTGTCCCCAGAGTCCAGCGCCCCGCCGCCGCCCCCTCGGTCCTGCCCCGCGGGCCAGCCCCAGCCCTGGCAGCCCAGCCCCGGCTCGCTTCTCTGTGCCTGTCCGCACCTGGCTTCCAGGCCTGTCGGAAAGCGCAGGGTCTCTAACCTCACAGAGACCCAGCTGTGTGTCCTCGCGGGCGCGCCAGTCCTCGGCCCGGATGCTGTGGCCGCAGGTGCCCCGTGCGGGCGGTCAGACCGCCGCGCCTGCTGCCGCGGGTACCCTCTCCTGACTCCCCTGCCTGCCTGGGCTCCCGTGGCCCGGCTGTAGTTGTGTGAGGCCCCTCCCTGGCCTGCCCGGGGCTGGTGCTCATTTGTTCTCCTTGTGCGTGGCCTTAGGGACCTTAGGGACCTTAGGGACCCAGAGCTGAGAGCACAGCCGGTTCCCGCTGAGTGGGAGAGAGAGAGAGACGGTGTCGGGAGGGAAAGCAAAGCAGAGTCGCGCCGTGCTGGGGGACGGCAGAGAACGGGGTGCCCCCACCCGATCCTGGGGGATCCCAGTGCTCAGCACCCCTACCCCACCCCCAGCGGGCGTGGCCCCCTTCTATCCTGCTGCATGGATTCTCCTGGAGTTAGGGAGACATGGAGGGCTGAGGACACCCCCAGTCTGGTGGTGCTTGGTGGCTCTCGGGCTGGTGGGAGATTGGGGGTGGGTGGGTTTTCCGTAAACATGGATGCCGGGTAGAACAGATCTGGGAAGCCTGCCGGGCGGAGGAGGCCACAGTGTGGGCAGGTGTCTGGAGGGAACAGGAGATGTGCGACTGCTGAGTCACGTATGCTTGTGGTCCTGCCTGGCTGGGGCCAGCAGACAGGACACAGCTGCCTGGGGCCAGCCGGGAGGAGTGGGGGAGTGATGGGAAACCTTGACCGTGGTCCACTGCTGTGCCACCTGGGGTGAATCCTCCCACCTCTCCGAGCCCTGCTTGCTGCCCCAAGGGGAGAACGAAAGCCCAGTGGCAGGTCAGTGGGGTTCCAGGGAGCCCTGTGTTGGTTGCTGAGGGACCCCCATTTCACAGCTGGCAAGACTGAGGCCCGAGAGGTGACTCGGGACTCCTGTGGGTTTCTTGCCCACGCGCTGTCCTGTCCTGACACCTTTCCTGGGCGGCTCTCCTTCCCGGCTCTTCCTCACACAACCCCTGGCCCCATGTTTGCCGGCCCGGAGGCTGCTGATGCCGGGGACACCACGCTGGGGTCCTGATTGTACGAGTGGGGGGGCTGAGGTCCTCGGAGAGCCTTAGCTTCGGGGATGAGAGGAAGGGAGACATGTGGGGCGTCCTGGCCCCGATCGGCAGCCTCCCGCTGGGAGGGTGGGTCGGGGTTGGCTCCTGTGTTCTGGAGTTGGGGTCCCTCTGCCTCCCTGTAAAATCTCCAGATTTTAGGCCGGCGCCGCGGCTCACTAGGCTAATCCTCCACCTTGTGGCGCCGGCATACCGGGTTCTAGTCCCGGTCGGGGTGCTGGTTTCTGTCCCGGTTGCCCCTCTTCCAGGCCAGCTCTCTGCTGTGGCCAGGGAGTGCAGTGGAGGATGGCCCAGGTGCTTGGGCCCTGCACCCCATGGGAGACCAGGATAAGTACCTGGCTCCTGCCATCGGATCAGCGCGGTGTGCCAGCCACAGCGCGCCAGCCATGGCAGCCATTGGAGGGTGAACCAACGGCAAAGGAAGACCTTTCTCTCTGTCTCTCTCTCTCACTGTCCACTCTGCCTGTCAAAATAAATAAATAAAAAAAAATTTAAAAAAAATCTCCAGATTTTGCCACTGGGGGCCCCAAGATGGTCGGATCAGTTCTCTCTGCCCCGTAATCCTTCCCCTCTGTGGGCCAGCACCCGCCCTGCAGCCCAGAAATGTTTAGGACTTGGTGCTTGGAGGCTGCCGATACCCCTGGGCAGAGCCTGAGCCGGTCTGGCCTTGGCCCCGCGCAAGCTGAGCCCTCCACCCTTCACTTCTCCCTCCTTGCTTCCCACGGAGTTGAGAGAGGAAGTGAACAGGAGTAAGAGGGAATTAACACGTGAGTCAGTCAACAAGCAAAAGCCCAGCCCAGTAACAGGGATGGAGAAGACCCGGCAGAAGAGAAACCCGGGCCACGGAGAATGCGGAAGGTGGGGTGGACGTGTCGCCTCGCGGTTAGACGCCCGTATCCCACGTCACAGGGCCTGGCTCCTGACTCCGGCGCCCTCTTATTTCGGGCCCTAAGAGCGGCAGGGGCAGCTGGAGTGACTGGGCCCCTGCCACCCCCATGGGAGACCTGGATTGCGTTTCTGGCTCCCGGCTTTGGCCTGATCCGGTCCCAGCCACGGCAGGCTTTGCAGGAGGCAGTTGGTAGGCGCTGGGGAGATCTCTGTCTATCAAATAAAATAGTACAAAAATCTTTAGAGACTTAATTATTTATTTGAAAGACAGTGACAGAGAGAGAGAGAGAGAGGTCTTTCATCTGCTGGTTCACTCCCCAAATGGCCACAGCAGCTGGGGCTGGGCCAGGCTGAAGCCGGGAGCCAGGAGCTCCATCCCGGACTCCCACCTGGGCGGCAGGAACTCAAGTGCTCAAGCTGTGACTTTCTGCTTCCAGGCACAGTAGCGGGGGGCTGCATCAGAAGGGGAGCAGCTGGGACTCAGCCCCAGTAGGGGTGCAGCGGTGGCTTAGCCCAGTGCACCGCAGCGCCTGCCCTGAGCCTGCCCTGAGCGGCTCTTTGAATTCACGGTGTTTCGCGAGGATAAGGAAGGAGTAGAAGCCCGGATAAGGAGGCACCGCCCACCGCCCGCAGAGGCAGGCACCCAGGGGCTGGGGGCCAGTGCATACCTGTGACCGCTTGCCCATCCTACCTCGATGGTCTGGGGTTTTCAGATGGGGCCTCGGTGAAGAGGCGCCTTGAGCCATCTTGGAGGCGTGGCTGCCCCCCACAGAAGCACAGCGTGGCCCGTAGGTTTTCCAGAGAAACAGGCAAGGTGACGGAGAGGGATCCAGTGCGGGCAGCTGTCTGTTTTTGCCAAGCAAGTGCATTAGGGACAGAACGAGCAGGCCTTGTGGACCCGGCCGATAGCGATCTCACACGTCAGCAGTCCGAGAAGCGAGGCGAGGGCTGACCTGCCGAGGACGGGCAGAGCCACGCCGCGCCGCGCCGGGAAGGGTTTGCCAGAATGACTCAAAGCCATCAATCGCATGGCAGCCGGGGATGCCTCCCGCCGTGCAGACAGGCCAGGCAGTGTGGGAGGGGGCAGGGTTTTGAGTCTGATGCCAGCAGAGCTGCTTCAGGTCCCTGGCTGGGCGCTGACACAGGGGACCCTGGGTGAGGGTGGCCGGGCCGGAAGCAATGGGGGGGGACTCAGCGAGGGGAGGGGGTGCAGCACTGGGGGCTGAGGCTCAGGGCTCAGCCTCCCCAGCCCGAGCTGTTCTAGACCAGAGGCGTCAAATCACGAGCTGACTCGCCCTCAGGGCCAGGACAGCCACCGAGCCTGGTGTGCAGCGCCATGTCTGGGGCGGGTGGGGGGAGAGACGGTCAGCTCCCACCCTTCCTTCTCCTCTATGCTCAGCTCGAGTTGGGTCCCCTGGGGTTGGGCCCCACCCCAGCCTCCACGTCCAGCTCTGCCGCCCTCCCTGGTGTTCAGGTGACCTGGGTACACGGCAGAGTTGAGACACGGCCTCGGAGGAGTGGGCCCGCCTGGGCTGGGCTCCCGCCTCTGCCCTTGGCTGACTGGCACCTGTCTTTCTTTTGTTGTTGTTTTTTTAAAATTTGTATTTATTGATGTTTACTTACTAGAAAGGCAGAGCGACACAGAGAGGTCTTTCACCCACTGGCTCACCCCCCTGGATGCCCAGGGCAGCCACAGCTGGGCCAGCTGAAGCCGGAAACCGGAACTCCATCCAGTCTCCCGCATGGTGGCAGGGACCCCAGTACCTGAGCCATGATCTGCTGCCTCCCGTGGCGAACTCTAGCAGGAAGCTGGAAGAGCAGTGCAGTCAGGATTTGAACCCGGGCCCCCTGATACTGGCTGCTACGCAGAAGGCCCCCACCCTGGGCGCCTGCCAGGTGCATCTGCTGGTGTTGGGCACCAGCCCCAAGCCCCGTGGCTTTGGCCGTCATCACTGGCCCTCAGGGACCTGGCTGGTGGCTGCGGCCTCCCTGCTCCGTGTGCTCTGGGATTCCTGGGAGCAGTGGGCTCCCCAGGGCAGCTCCCTCCCACGGTGATGGCAGAGGCGCAGGAGGGTGCAGGAGGCCTCCCCGAGGCTGGTCTGGCAGCCGCCACGCCCGTCCACCTTCCTTCAGCCCGGATGGGGCAGGGGCGGGTCCTCGGGCTGTGGTGGGGGTGGCGGCCTGGCCCCAGCAGGCACGGAGCCTGTGCGTTAACTCCCCCGCTTCGCTTCCTGGGGACGATGGCAGCACCGGGGGCTGGCGGCGTGGTGCAGTGGGTGAGGCCGCCTCCTGGGACGCCGGCCTCCGTATCAGAGCAGCCCGGCTCCCCGCTGATGCACCGGAAGGCGGCAGGTGGTGGTCCAAGTGCTTAGGTCTCTGCTACCCGTGTGGGAGACCTGGACGGAGCTGCAGGCGCCTGGCTTTGGCCTGGCCCAGCCCTGGCCGATGTGGGCATTTGGAGGGTAGGAGATCCACTCATCTACTCCCTCCCTCTCTGAAACTCTTTCAAGTTAATCAATCATCAATCTTTAAAAAAAAAAAAAAACAGCGCCACCCTGCGGGGCTGCCACGAGGGAGCCAGGAGGTGCCAGGCACGGAAGGTGCCCGCAGGCGTGCTGGGTCTGGGGCCACGTCGGTTAACATGAAAAGCCCCGTGCCCGTGGAGCCACGGCCGCTCTTTGAGGACCACGGCCTGTGCGCACAGGCAGGCCAGCGCTGGTGTGAGCTTCAGGCCGGGGCGGCCGCGTGGCTGGCTAAGGGCCTGCTCAGCCAGTGCCCCAGCGCTCACCAGGGCTCCCCTCTGCCTGCAGGTGGGCCTTTCTGGAAGTGGGCACCAATGGCGACTACGATGACGGCCTGCAGGCCTACGCCGCGGGCGTGGTGGAGGCCTCCGCGTCCGAGGAGGTGAGGCCAAGGGAGGGAAACCCGGGGTGCCCCTCTCCAAGCCGGGGTGTTCCCGGGGTACCCTAGGTGTTTGAGGTGCGTGCAGAGTGCCCCTCGCCTGCCCCCAGCCCGCCGTCCAGCTGGGGAGGCAAAGTGCACGTGCATTCTACAAAAAACTGCGAAAAAGTTCCGCCTGGTCCGACGTGAGGCGGGAAGCAGGGCACAGCATGTTCTGTGCCGTGATACTAAAATGCACACCATCCTGTAGTGTTATGGATAGCGTCAGGGTCCCCGCCCCTGCCTCTGCCCCCAAATGGGCTCGCTCCCGCTCCCGCTCCCGCTCGTCTGGTCTTCTATGTCGAGGTCTGTTGCACACACCGCAGCGTGCACCAATTAAAATGGACAGCCGCATGGTTTTCCAGCACATTCTATGACTGTGGAGCCATCAGTGCGGTCTGACTCCCGAACATTGTCATCGCTGCACCAGGAACCCAGGTCACCACACCCCGGGTCCTTCTCCCCGTGGCCCCTGGCAGCCACTCGCGTGTTCCGTGTCTCCCTGGCTGGCTCATTCTGGACCTTCTGTAGGGATGGACGCACACTGCGTCCCTGCTGGTCACTGCTGCCTTCCCGTTGTGGGCGTCCGTGTAGAAGTGGGTGCAGGTGGGGTTGCGCCCAGCGTCTCCCTTTGCTTCGGCTCGTTGCTTTGAGCTTTTTAAAAGCAGGCCATTTTGGGAGTCAGCTCGTGTTAGAAGGGCATGAGGGGCCGGCGCCGCGGCTCACTAGGCTAATCCTCCGCCTTGCGGCGCCGGCACACCGGGTTCTAGTCCCGGTCGGGGCACCGGATTCTGTCCCGGTTGCCCCTCTTCCAGGCCAGCTCTCTGCTGTGGCCAGGGAGTGCAGTGGAGGATGGCCCAAGTACTTGGGCCCTGCACCCCATGGGAGACCAGGAAAAGCACCTGGCACCTGGCTCCTGGCTCCTGCCATGGGATCAGCGCGGTGCGCCGGCCGCAGCCGCGGCGGCCATTGGAGGGTGAACCAGCGGCAAAGGAAGACCTTTCTCTGTCTCTCTCTCTCTGTCCACTCTGCCTGTCAAAAAAAATAAATAAATAAATAAAAAATAAAAAAAAAAGAAGGGCATGAGGGTTTGGGCTGAGTGCCAGTGCCCACCGCAGGTGGAGAGGTGACCTGGCACGCCCCCAGCCAGTGAGTGAGCGACGGGCGGGGGGACGGTTGCACAGTGGCGTACGGTAGAGCAGTGCCGGCAGCGAGTGAGTGGACCGGACCTGAGGTGCCCGGGACCCCCTCATGAGACGTCCCCGCCCCTCTGGCTCCCAGTTTGCTTCTGGGTGGCCTCCCAGGTCCCTTGGTGTCTGGGGGTGTGGCCAGGTGCCGGGCCAGGCTCAGGTGGTTCTGGGTGCACCATGGTGAGCGGGACTCCCTTGCACCCTACCGGCCTACCGGGGCCCACAGTCTTGTGACTTGCACAGGAGTCGCAGGCCCATCGTGTCCTTGCGCCCCACGTCAGCCCCTAGGCTCGGCCACCTCCACCGGGCAGGTGTGGAGGCCCAGGCCCAAAGAGGTGGGGTGGTCTCCCCACGGCTGAACTGCTCCTTCACCGAGGAGCCAACGTGTGGACCTGGCTCTGCCTGACTCACGTTTCTGCTCCTAACCGCGTGGCTTTGCTCCCTGCCCCTCTCGCCTGTGGGTTTCTGGGGGCAGTGGTCATGTCTTGTCCCCCGCAGTGTCCCCTGACCCCAGCTCAGACCCTGGTCTTAGATGGGCACAGAGGAAATGGTGAAGAAGCCTCGGAGGGCTGCCTGGAGGAGGTCACGCACTCATTTGTGGATCTGGAGGGGTGGGCAGGATTTGAATATGTCTCAGCGGGACGGCCATGACGCAGGGCTCACTAATCTTTGGGCCTGGGGTGGGGTGCGGCTTCATCTCCCTTGCTGCCCCACGTGGCTTGGGGACGTTCCCAGTGGGGTGAGGAGTGTGGCCAGGTGAGGTCCGTGCTCTGGAAATTCCACACCCACATCTTGACGGGGGTTCCCGATCTTGGCCCTTTGGTTCCCAGGGTGACCCTGGGACAGGCGCTCCCCTGGCTGTGCCGCCAGCGGGTGAGGAGGCCTGCTCTGTAGCACTGTGCGGTTTGGGTGTCTGGCTGTGTGAAACATGTCCTGAGCACCAGCTCTGGACACCCAGGCCCCTCTGCAGAGCACAGAGACCTGCGGATAACCTGGTGGTTCTGCTGTTCTGAGCCAGGCCCGGCTGACCTTGGCTGGGCTCGTGGTCGGGTGGGGCAGGCTGGCCGGCCCGATGGGCTGTCCCGTGTCTGGGAGTTGGCTGGCTGTGAGCCGGGTGACAGGGACGGCCAGGCTCCACCCCCAGCAGATGCAGCCAGGGTCCATCATGGAGGCTGGCTCAGCAAGCCCGCGCCCGGTGAGTCAGCAGGGACCCCTGCTGGCAGGCCCACTGCAGGGGTCAGAGCAGAGACGCGTGGGGGGGGCCCGGGAGCAGCGGTGTGCCGCCTGGCCCCGACTGGCCGCTGATGGCCTTCAGAGCAGGGAGTCGCCGGGGGCGCTGGGCCCTGGTGCGGGCTGAGAGCCGGACGTGTGGGAAGTGTGCGCGCTCCCGGGGCCGGGTGGGCTGCGATGGCCCAGCCGCGCTGCCTCGCCCACAGCTCATCTACATGCACTGGATGAACACGGTGGTGAATTACTGCGGCCCCTTCGAGTACGAAGTCGGCTACTGCGAGCGGCTCAAGCGGTTCCTGGAGGCCAACCTGGAGTGGATGCAGGAGGAGATGGAGCGGAACAAGGACTCCACCTACTGGCACCAGGTGGGCCGGCTCCCCTGGCCACCGTCTGTGTCCTTCCTCGCCCTCCTGTCACTCACCCATCTCTTCAGTCTCCGCCTGTTTGTCCCTTCATGCGGCCCCTCCCCCGCCCCACGCTGTCCTGCTGTCAGCGAGCAGACACGCACGGTTAAGTGGTAGCCCGCTGCTTTCCCTGCGGCTGCGGGACAGGTGGATGCGGTGGACGCGGGTGAGAGCAGTGGGAACCAGGGGAAGAGGAAAACGGGCAAACCTGGGCGTTCGGGTGCTGTGATGTCTGCTTTGCTGTCCCGGGTGAGCTGCTGATGGGTGGCAGCCAGCAGAGTCCTGGCAGGGGCTCTGCCTGTGGGCTCTTGGCTGAGCCGTCCATGCGAAAGCCAGTGGTTCTGGGTTCCTGACACCCGGGGAGTGTGTGACGCGCATGCAGCAGCGCGTCTCCTGTCCGCACGTCTGCCTGTCTGCACGGCTGCCCAGCTTCGGCTGGGTTGGCCTCAGCGCCCTCGGCCGAACTGCTCACCGTCCACCGGCCTTCTCCCCACATGCCTGCTCACACTCCTGCTAGAGCAAGTTCTCTGCCCAAGATCTCTTCGTCTCCCCATGCGCCGGCCACCCAGTCCCTCATTTGTCCATCCATCCACCCACTCAGCCATCGTTCACCTGCGCGTCTCTCCACTCATCCAGCCATCCGTTCTTCCATCCACTCATCAGTCTTCCTCATTAGCTTGTCCATCCAGCCCTCCTCCCCATCTGTCCACTCCTCATCCATCCATCCATGCACCCACCCACTCATCCGTGCACCCACCCACTCATCCGTCCACCCACCTGCTCATCCATCCATCCGTCTGTCCATCCACCCCTCCTCCTCCTCTGCCCACTCATTCATCCGCCCATCTATCCATCCACTCATCCATCCATCCTGCAGGTGCTTACTGATGCCTGTTGTGTGTCCGGAATGTGCCAAGGCCCTGTGGGGGACGTGGGGTGGTGCGCCAGAGACAGAACAGTGGCAGTGGGAGGAAGTGAGGTGCACGAGGCGGGAACAAACCTCAGACCAGGGGACAGCAGGCAGTGGGCCGGGCCAGCTGGGAGGCTTCCTGCAGGAAGTAGCTATTGAGCTGGCTCCTAAGTGTGGGTGACTCGGGGTCAGCGCCAGGCAGGGACGTGTAGTGAATCCATTGGAGGCCGGGGCCTCACCCTCCCTCTGGCCCTGCCCCTGCCCCAGGTGCGGCTGACACTCCTGCAGCTGAAAGGCCTGGAGGACAGCTACGAGGGCCGCGTGACCTTCCCCACGGGGAGGTTCACCATCAAACCTCTGGGGTTCCTGTGAGTGCCTCCCCGGGCTGGGCGGGCGGGAAAGGCGCCATGCAGCCCACGGGTCACGCGGACCTGGGTCCCGGCCCCCGGGTCAGGGAGTGCACGCGTGGCAGCCGGCCTGGTGACGCTCCGCACCGGCCCTCCTCAGCCTGCTGCAGATCTCCGGCGACCTGGAAGACCTGGAGCCGGCTCTGAACAGGACCAAGACCCAGGCGGCCCTGGGCTCTGGCTCCTGCTCCGCCCTCATCAAGCTGCTGCCCGGCCACCGGGACCTGCTCGTCGCCCACAATACCTGGAACTCCTACCAGCACATGCTGCGCGTCATCAAGAAGTACTGGTTCCAGTTCAGGGAGGGCCCCCAAGGTAGGTGCGGGGGTGCGTCTGTGCGCGTGCGCGTGCGCATGCGGGCCGTGCGGGCGGTACGGACACCGCCCTGCACCCCCCACCCCCGTTGGGCCAGGCTAGAAGTCTGTTTATTTTTTTCCTTTTTACGATTTTTAAAGATTTTTTGAAAAGCAGAATGACACAGAGGGAAAGACAGAGATCTGTCCATTGGTTCACTCCCCAAATGCCCACGACAGCCAGGGCCAGGCCAGGCTGACGCCAGGAGCCAGGAACTACATCTGGGTCTCCCACGGGTGGCAGGGGCCCAGGCACTTGGGCCACCTTGCGCTGCTTTCCCAGGCACGTTAGCAGGGAGCTGACGGGAAGCAGAGCAGCCGGGTCGCCAGCCAGCGCTCTGCTGTGGGATGCCGGCGGCACAGGTGCTGGCCTCACCCACTGCGCCTCGGCGGCCCCTCCTGGTGTTGAACGCGCCTGTTCCCTTCCAGTGTTCAGCTTACAAGGCATGTTAGTTAGCTATGGCTGCATAGCCGAGCGCATGGAATTTAAAAACCACCGACAGCTCTCTTTTGTTGCCATGTCTGCGCATCCGCTGGGGCCCGGTTATTCCTGCCTGGGCTCGCTGATGACGCTGCCATCTCCAGGGGCTGGCCCAGGGTGGCCTCCTTCCCACGTCTGGGACTGGCGGTCACCCGGAGTGACAGGGACGACCGGCCTGCGTGGCCTTTGAGCCCAGCCTGGTCCATGTGGTGCCTGGGCAGGAACGGCAGGCGGCCCCGAGGCCTGGCTGACGCTCAGGGAGGCTGAGCAGCCCGGCGCGAGCCCCACGCGCGCACGTGGACCCCTTCCCGCCACAGCCGCGGCTGCTGCCGCCACCGTCTGTGCTGTGACCTTTGTACCAGTGAGCCTCTGAGTATGATGTGAGTTTTAAATGTTAGCTCAAAAATGTGAAAAGAGGAATAGAAGCGCCAAAGAAAATATATATGCAGTGACATATACTCGTGAATATATATGCATATATATATATATTCCTGCAAATATATTTTGCTACTGGCTTTTTTAAAAAAAACAACTTTTAAAATTTAATTGACTTGAAAGGCAGAGAGAGAGAGACAGACCCACAGAGAGAGCGCTTCTGTCTGCTGGTTCACTCCCTTGATGCCCCAGCAACTGAAACCAGGACCCCCAAGCCCCATCGGGGTGTCCCCCGTGGGTGGCAGGGACCCAACCACGTGAGCCACCACCCGCTGTCCCCCAGCGCGCGTCAGCGGGAAGCCGGGGTCTGGCGCAGAGCGGGCCTGGAACTCGGGCTCTGTGGGTGGGGGTGTCCCGAGTGGCTGCTCAACCTCGGCCCCAAACACCTGCCCCGTCAGGTTTGCAATAAAAAATAGTTTTGAGCCTCGGATGGGGAAGCCCGCGTGGATGGGCAGCCGATGCGTGTAGTGGGCTTCTGTTGCCAGGTGACAGGAAGGGTGTGTGGCTCCTCCGAGGCCCGCCTGCTCCACCTGGAGACCAAGCCCTGTGGGAGGGGCCGCGGGGGTCCCCACGGGGCCCGTCTGGCCAGCACCCGGGCTCACTCTCGCCCCACAGAGGACTACCCCCTGGTCCCCGGCAACAGGGTGATCTTCTCGTCCTACCCCGGCACCATCTTCTCCTGTGACGACTTCTACGTCCTGGGCAGTGGGCTGGTGAGTCACCCGCCGTGTCGGCGGCACCCCGGGGACCTGCGCAATGCACCGCTTCAGCTGGGTGGCGTGCCCGCCCCCCCCGCCCGCCCGGGGCGCAGCTCCCTGCTGTGTCCTGGTTCAGGTGCACATTCCCAGACCCCCTGCAGCCCCCGCAGCCTGCAGCTGCCCGGGGCCTCGGAAACCGCCGGGAGCCTTGGCCTCGGCGGCCCCTGTTGTCCGTGTCCGGGAGAAGCCGTCCTTGTTCCGTCCCATCTCCCTCTGGCCGTCCCCGAAGCCCCGCAGCCTGGCCAGGTCTTCTCAATGGCTGTTGACAGTGTGTTGTTTGGATTGCTTTTCTTGGCCGGGACCCAGGTTCGCTCAGAACCCTGTTCCTGGCACGCCCCCCTCCCCCCTCACCGAGACAGGGACCCCGGGATCTCCAGGGCAACAGCGCCGGGGAGCAGAAACCATCCCTGTGAAAGCCCTCCGTGCCAGGGCCGCCGGCGCCCCGCAGGGCGGGCCAGCCCCTCCTGTCTGCCTGGGAGAGAGGCTGAGAGGGCCAGGAGGGGGCGGGGGAGCCCCTGGCCGCAGCGGGGCTGGGGAAGCCACAGAGGAGAGGCTCGGGCCCGGACCCTTGCCCCGGTCTTGTCCGTCGCTGGGTTTTGTGCCACATAGGGCGCTGGGGACCCCTCCTCAGACTTAACGTTTTAATTTTTTTAAAGATTTGATTTATTTGAAAGAGTTACAGAGAGAAAGACGGGGGGGAGATTGTCCTTCTGCTGGTTCACTCCCCAGATGGCCGCAGTGACGAGGGCTTGGCCAGGCCAAAGCCAGGGGCTTCACCGAGTCTCCCATGTGGGTGGCAGGGGTCCGAGCACCTGGGGCATTCTCTGCTGCTTTCCCAGGTGTGGTAGCAGGGAGCAGCCAGGACTTGAACCGGCGCCCACGTGGGACGCTAACATGCTGGACCACACCACCAGCTCCAGGCTCGTGTTTTTAAATGTGTCAGCCACGTGTGTAGGATTATGAAGGGAACCAGTTGTGTTTGTTCGTTTTTATTTACTTTTGTTTGGGAGGCAGACAGTGAAAGATCTTGGTCTGGTGCTTCACTCCCCAAATGCCTGGAGTAGCCAGGGCTGGGCCAGGCCAGCGCCAGAGGAGCCTGGAACTCAGCCCTAGTCTCCCGGGCGGGTGGTGGGGATCCGCGCATTTGAGCCATCACCTGCTACCTCCCAGGGTGCGCATGAGCAGGAGGCTGGATCAGAAGCAGATTGGCCAAAACACGCACCAGGTGCTCCACCATGGGTGCGGGCGTCCCAGGCTGAGCGGCTGCACCTAGCAGACCCTCCTGGCCATTCATGTCCTGCCCTGGTAACCCAGTGGCGGAGCCAGGCTGACTTGGAAGCAGCACGAAGCGGAGCGCTGTGTAGGGGGCGTCAGCCCTGGGAAACGCGGGTGCCCATGACCACACGTGTGGCTGGGGCTGCCTGCGTTCTGCTGGACGTCAGTGGAAGTAGAGGTGGTGTTCTGCCCGCGCAGGATGGCGGCCTCTCGAGTCTCACCCCAGGAGGAGGAGGAGGCCTGGGGGCTCGGGGGCCCTCGAGCTCGGGTCCAGGAGAAGCCCGGGATGTTCTCACAGTGAGAAGGAGCTCCTCACTTGGAGGTGTTATTGAAAGCCTTGCTCTATAGATGTCTGTCTTAAAAACAAATCACCTTTATAGATACTGCCATCATTTTTATGGGTTATTTAAGAGGTATGTATTTATCTGGGAGGCAGAGTGGCAGGGAGAACGAGCCATCTTTCACCGCCGGGTTATTCCCCGATGCTGCAGCAGCCAGGGCCGGGCCAGGCTGGAGCCGAGAGCTGGGGCCGCAGCCCGGTCTCCCACGGGGGTGGCAGGGGCCTGGCTGATCAACCCGTCACCTGCTGCCTCCCAGGATGCACGTTCATGGGAAGCTGGACTTGGCAGCGGAGCTGGGACTTGAACCCAGGCCCCCCAGTGGAGGAGGCTGGTGTGGCACGCTGTGTCTTAACCGCAGTGGCAAATGCCCACCCCTGGTGCTGCTGTGTGTGAGCTGTCGGTGACCTCCGCGTGAGTGATGGAGGCTCGGGCTAGCTCCTTGCTGCGGTGCGGAGAGCACGCTCTGATTTGAGAGGCTGGGGTGTCGGCCCCGCCCCCCTGGCTGTGCCTAAGCTGCTGTGGCCTCTTCTTCAGTAACCGGGGGACACCGGCCCCTGTGCCCTGCGCTCCCAGGAGGGCTGGGGGAACGAGCCTGGGGAAACCAGCTGGCCTGCGGTCATTCCTTTAGGCTCATTGTGCCTGGAAGGCATCTTCGAAGGCGAGTCCGGTGACTCCGTACTGAGTAGAGGGGTGCAGTGTGCATCCCTGGAAAAAATGTTAACCGGAAAGGGAGGGGGTGGCCTGTGTTGTTGCGTAGTGGGTGCTGCGTCCCATAGCAGAGTGCTGGTTCCGATCCAGCTTCCTGCTAATGCACCTGGGAAGGCAGCACGTGGTGGCCCCAGTGCCTGGGGCCCTGTCCGCTTTGTAGGAGACCCAGATGGAGTTCCAGGATCCTGGCTTGAGGCTGGCACCACCCTGGTTGTAGCAGCCATTTGGGGGAGTGAACCACTGGATGGAAGACCTCTCTCTGTCTCTGTCTCTCTCCCTCTCTCTCTCTCTGTCTCTCCTTCTGCCACACCCCCTTTCAAATAAATAAATAAATCTTTGTTTTTGTTTTTTAAAGAAGAGTATGTTAACATTTCTAGAGGCGTGGAGGTGAGGTTCACCACGTAGGGTAATTTGTATTTGCCATCCCTGTATTCCTAACGTGCACTGTAGAAAGTCAAGTTCAACAGAATTACCTTGGCTGTTGACGTGAGTTTTGCTTTGCCTGCAAGGGTTGCAGGAGGATGTGGGGAGGGGGACGAGGAACTAGGGTCAGCAGTGGAGATCAGGGTGGGGCAGGGGGAGATGACCGCAGGCCCCCTCCCCTGGCAAGGTCTCCAAGACCTCGGCCCTTGGGGTCTCCAGGCCAGCGGCCCTACGCTGCCTGGCTTCCCCGCATGACTGCAAGGCGAGCTGGGAATGAGGTGAACCCTGTGATGGGGAGCGAGGGCCGTGGAAGCAGCCCCCTTAGAGGCTCCTCTCCCGGGAGAGCTGGATGCTGTCTGCAGGACCGGGAGGAGCGGGTACCTGGACCTGAGCCTGAACCCAGACCAGGATCTGTTTGTTCAAACAAACAAATACCCAACTCACAGGCTGGGTTGTACAGTGCCCCCACTCTCCCCCAGGTCACGCTGGAGACCACCATTGGCAACAAGAACCCGGCCCTGTGGAAGTACGTGCAGCCTGAGGGCTGTGTGCTGGAGTGGGTGCGCAACGTGGTGGCCAACCGCCTGGCCCTGGATGGGGCCACCTGGACCGATGTCTTCAAGAAGTTCAACAGTGGCACGTGAGTGGGCCCGCCGAGGGGATGGTGAGCCCGGGGCCACGCACACCCCTCCCCTGCAGAGCCTGCCCGCAGGTCCTCACTGCAGTTGGAAAGGGCTGAGAGCCCCCCTCACTCCATATGTGGGGAAACTGAGGCTTGGGGACGGGATGCTGCCCCTCCCCTCCAGGCTCAGCCCCAGGAGAGGACGTGGGTGGGCTGTCCCAGGAGGAAGACGTGGGTGGGTAATGCACCCTGTGAACCAGAGAGGGCTTGGCCAGCAGAGGAGTCGACCTCTGTGCTAACGAGCACCAGGGAGCCACGGAATGTTCTGGAGCAGGCCAGCAGCATGCTGAAAGGGGTCTGGGGACAGCCGGCCAAGCTGCGTTGTCAGGGTGGCTGGCGGCTGCCCGAGGGTCCTGGCTGCGTGGGCTCCGGGGCTGGGGGTGGCTGGGCAGTGGTCCGGGCTCTGCACATCTCCCCGCCCGGGCACGGCAGGTACAACAACCAGTGGATGATCGTGGACTACAAGGCGTTCGTCCCCGGCAGGCCCAGCCCTGGGAGCAGGGTGCTCACCATCCTGGAGCAGATCCCGTGAGTCCCCTGGGGGAAGGCTGGGTGCTCCGGGCAGTGGGGCTGGGGAGGAGACTGGAGGAGGGGGCGGGGTGAGGCTGAGACCCTCGGGGGTCCCTTTCCTCACCACCTCCGCCTCATCTCACGTTGGCTGCAGGGGCTTGGTGATGGTGGCCGACAAGACCTCGGAGCTCTACCAGACGTCCTACTGGGCCAGCTACAACATCCCGTACGTGCCCGCCCCGGTCCGCCTCCCGCAGGGGAAGGGAGACTTCTAAACCCACAGAGCCAGGAGGCCTCCCCACCTCCTGCTCAGCCTGGCAGCCTTGCAGTGTGGTTGTGCGGCTTCACTCAGCGCCCGTGGGCCCCTGGCTCCAGCACCCGGGGGGGAGGGCGCCCGAGCACGGGGACTGACCCCCGCCAGGTTCTGCAGCTGGGCCTGCCTCCCCGGGGCTGGACAGCCACCGCCCCAGGCGCTCCCTTGAGCGCAAGCCCCTGGGTTCTGTCACTCGAGCCTCCTACCCAGTAGCTGTTCCCCAGCTTCCACAGCTGGTGGGCAGGGAAGCCAGGACTGGAACCCGTGTCTGTTGGAGCCTGGAGCCAAGCCTGCCGCCCACCAGGCCCAGGCGAGAGACGGTCACTGCTGCCCGGTGGTGACAGCCACGATGCTGTGGTGTGACACACCCACGGACAGGAGAGGCCTCGGGGTGGGGGCAGGGTCCTGGGTGACCGTCCTCGTCCCCAGCAGGTCCTTTGAGCGCGTGTTCAACGCCAGCGGGCTGCAGGAGCTGGTGGCGCGCTACGGGGACTGGTTTTCCTACAGCAAGAACCCCAGGGCCCAGATCTTCCAGCGCAATCAGTCGCGGGTGCACGACCTGGACTCCATGGTGCGGCTCATGAGGTGGGTGCCCGCCGGGTGGGGCGGGGCCCGAGAGCGGGGCGGGGCGGAGGGTGTGCCGGGCCGCAGGAGAGCATGCGGAGACTTGGGGAATGAGCGGGGTGCCGCGGGATGCTCAGCGCCCGGAAAGGGGGCCAGAGACCGGCAGGACACCTGCTCCCCACTGTCCCCGGGGAGACACCCAAGCACCCTCCCTGATGTTGCCTGGGCCGCCGAGAAGCGCCATCCAGGGCCCCTCCTCGGCCTCCCCTTCCCAGAGTCACAGGCGTGGCTGCCTATCCCCACCAGGTACAATGACTTCCTCCACGACCCCCTGTCCCGGTGCGAAGCCTGCGTCCCCGAGCCCAACGGGGAGAATGCCATCTCCGCCCGCTCCGACCTCAACCCCGCCAACGGCTCGTACCCCTTCCAGGCGCTGCATCAGCGCTCCCACGGGGGCATCGACGTGAAGGTGCGCCCCCCAACAGTGGGAGGAGTCTGGGTGGAAATCGGCCGTGGTTGGGGTCGAGGTGAAGGTGACGGCAGCGCTGTGGGATCCAGGCCCGGCGCGGCTCAGCGGCCTGCTCTGTCCTGTCGCCCAGGTGACCAGCAAGTCGCTGGCCAAGGCGATGAGCCTGCTGGCGGCCAGCGGCCCCACATGGGACCAGGTGCCCCCGTTCCAGTGGAGTACCTCGCCCTTCCGCGACCAGCTGCACATGGGCCACCCTGACCTCTGGAAGTTCCTGCCCATCAGAGTCCTGTGGGACTGAGGCCCCGCCTCCCTGCTGACGACCCGCCAGCCCCGCCCACCCCGGGCCGCTGCACTCTGGGTGGGGTCTGGGGCAGCGGGGCTCCTCCTCACTGGGGTGGTGTTCTCGCGGGGAGGGGCTGCTGACTCGCTGTTTCCCGAGCGGGGGGGCGCCAGCCTGTCTCCCTCGCCGCCCCCTGCGGCTGTCTCCCAGCTCTGGGACGCCGTCTCCCGTCTCCGTGCTGCTGCCCCCTCCTACGGGTGAGGGGGGGTCCTCCCAGGGAGCAGCCCCTGGCCCAGTGTCGTTCCCTGTGGTGGCTGGCGCTGGCGTCCAGCCCCTGCGCCCCTCAGGAAGCAGCCCCCCCAGCTCCCTGCCTGAGCAGTTTCCTTGAGGACGGAAACTTGAAAGCAAACAAAAACCAAAGTTTCTGGCCCCTCGCGGCTGGAGGGTCCTGCAAGCCCCCTCTCTCCCGGGTGGGCGGGAATGGCGGCCCCACTGCTGCCCCCTCCCCCTGCTGTACCGAGTGCAGGCTTTGCCACATTAAAGGAGAGAGGTCGTGGCCCCACACTCTGCTTCTTGGGGCACCAGGGAGGGCTGGGGCGGCGCCATCCACTGCACATCCCCTCCGTTCACTCGGCTGCGAACCCTCACCATTGATTGCCTGGGTGCCTGCACAGTCACCCCCCCATGCGCCTCCATCAGTGCCTCCGACCAGCCGGTCATCTTTCAGCCACCTCTGTCCATCCGCCCACACATCTACTCCTTGATCAGCCAGCCACATACCCATTCGTGTACCTGCCACCCGTCCACCCACCCATTACCCATATCACATCGATCCAAATGTTTCCCGAGTGCGTGTTGTGTTCTAGGTCCAGTTCTAGGGCACCCTCAACCACTGAGACCTCCCTGAGCCCTTCTGTGTCGTGCACGCCGGCACTGGCTCCCCGAGCTGGACTCACACCCAGCCCGCCCCGCAGACAGGGCTCCCCCAGCGCTGTTGTGGGGACGACACATGCAGCCCTGGAGTTGGAGACCTCACTTCGCGTCCTGGCTTCACCTTACGCTAGCCGGTTGGATCCTCAGTTACCTCATCTGTAAAATGGGTTAACGCTGTGTGCAGTGCTGGTGGCTGTGGCGCAGCCCACAAGGGGCCTCTTGCTGGATATCCGTTGGCAGATGTGTTAGGAAGGCGGGGGTGCCCTGTAGCACAAAGCCCAGAACGCAGTCCCTCTCTGCTCCATGAAGCTCACGGTTGGAGACGGTGGGCGGAGTGAGCCCACACGCGGGAAGCGAAGCGGGCAGCCGGGGCAGTGCCCTTGCCCGGGGGTGGGGCACAACTTGTAGGTGTATTTTTTATTTCTTTGAACCTTTTATTTGGAAGGCACAGAGACAGGTTTTCATCTGCTGGTTCGCTCCCTGTGTGCCCACAACAGCCAGGGCCGCACCAGGCTGAAGCCAGGAGCCTGAAGTTGCACCTGGGTCTCCCACGGGTGAGGCAGGGACCTAAAGATTTGAGCCGCCACTGCTGGGGTGCGCAGCAGGGAGCTGGGACCCCTCCCACGCACTCTGATGTGGGACTCGGGTGTCGCAAGCAGCGTCTTCACCATCAAGTCTCAAGCCTCGGGCACAGCAGAGCCTGGATAACTTGGGCCCCTCGTCCTCCCTCCCCATCTGCCCGCAGTGGCAGGTGCAGGCTCTGGTGCACTGAATCGTCACGGCCATTGCTAAGGTTGAGACTTCCGAAAGACCCATTTGACCGATGAGCAAGCAGAGGCACGGGGTTGGGGGTGGGACATTCTAGTGTCTCTGACCTATTCCCTAGAATTCTCCCTAGGATTCTGGCCCGCCTGCTGCCTTTCGGGAGGTGAAGGTGATAGGGAGCCAGGCCAGGGAGTGTGGGGGTGTGTCCTCAGCCCAGCAAGGGCAGGACGCTTCTGCGCCATGGCGGCCCTGCTCGGCTCCTGCGCACTGAAGTTTCCCACAATCCTCAGCTGCAAGATGGCAGCTGTAGTTTCTTTCCGCTCCCAAAAGCACAAGGCTCTGGCCGGCTGGTCAGCCCCAGCCCCATGGTGTCCCTGCCACTCCTCCCCCTTTGGGGGTTTCATGCCTGCACGCGGTGCGGCGCGGAGGGGCGGCCGCAGTGGAAGCTAGGAGGAACCCTGGGCGTGGTTCAGGTTTCCCTGAACTGGGTGCGATTTCAGTCACACCCCATCCCCTAAGAAAAATGCTGGGGCTGGGGGGGCCGACTTGATCTCCTGTTCTGGGTTTCTGAGTTGGGGGGCATCACGGTCCAGCACTGTGGTGCCGGCATCGCATGTCGGGGCGCTGGTTCGAGTCCTGGCTGCTCTGCTTCTGATCCAGCTCCCTGTTAATGCGCTGGGAAAAGCCGTGGAAGATGACCCACGTACACGAATTCCTGCTACCCATGTGTGAGACCCCAATGGCGCTCCAGGCTCCTGGCTTCAGCGTGACCCAGCCCTGGCTGTTGTGGGCATTTGGGGAGTGAACCGGTGGATGAAAGTCTCTGTCACTGTGCTTTTCAAATAAGTAAATTTTAAAAAAGTTCACGGTTACCCCTGCCACGGGGAACTCCGCGGGAAGGCCAGGAGGAGGTGGGTTTCTGATGGGTTTTCTGCTTCCTAGGGAACATGTGGACCTTGGGGGAGACCCCCCCTGCATGATGTTCCTGGGGAGAGGGGCCCCCCACCCTGAGTGAGCCCCAGCAGTTCTCTGACAGGTTTCCTGGGGTGGGCGGCACTTGAGTGGCCGCAGTCACTGGGAACAGGGGTCTGGGGTTTCAGGAGAGGCTGCAGGACAGCCTTGATGCCAGGTGTACCCCCCTTTCAGGGCCAGCTTACACGCCCCCACCCCCACCCCCCGCTGGGCAGCTCAGTACCGTGCTCCCAGTGACTTAGCAGGAGGGACTCCGCCTGCCCCCCGCGGGCTCTGTGTTCAGCCCCTGAGATGCAGGGACCCCCACCCACCAGCACGCACACCAGCAGCAGGCTGGGTGCAGTTTGCTCCCTATCAGGAGGGGCTGAGAGCAGCCAGGGCGGGTGGACGGGGAGGGGGAACGAGCTGGCGATGCAAAAACACAGAGGACCTTGGCTTCATAAATACGTGTTTTCTCCATCAGTGAAAAAGTTCGCACACTAGAAAAACGGGCAGGGGAGTGCTCCCTGGGAGGAGGGAAGAGCTGGCCGCCCACCTGGGATGGGGGCGCAGTCACGGCATTTCTGGGGGTGCCTCCTACTGCACCTCTGGTCCCCCGCCCCCCGTCCATCCAGCTCCAGGGACCTGGTGTGCTGCCTGGGGTGGCCAAGGAGTCACAAGGGGTTCAGTTCACAGCCTGGTGCCCCACCCCGGGGGAAGTCCCAAGCCGGGGACCCAGCAGACCCCCCCAATGAGCAGTGCACCTGCTGGCACAGTGGCCGCTGCCTGAGCCCAAGAGTCCTATTTACAACGAGGCGCTGGATACAACTCCAGTCCTGCGGGAGCTCGGGGTGAGGCCCTCACTCCGGCAGCCCATCCTTCATGCCCAGCTGGGCCTTGAGGGCCCGCAGCTGGGCCAGGCTGATGTTGCTGCCCCCACAGACGATGACCACGAGGGAGGGCAGGGGCGCCGGCAGCTTCCCCTCCCCCTGCAGCTTCTTCACCACGTGGCTGTAGACTGCGGCCAGGGCTGCCCCACAGGCCGGCTCCACCAGGATCTTCTCATCATCTGCAGAAGAAGGGGCGTGGTGAGGGCCAGCTGGGGGGGGGGGGGGAAACGCCAACCATTGGCAGAGCTTGGGGGAGTGTGAGCCAGTCAGCTCGCAGCTCCCGGCCCAAAGCTGGATTGGACCCTCCCAGCCCGAGTCAGGGCTTCGGGCTCACCCTGCACGTTGACATGGATGAAATGATTGCAATTGCAGTCATTGGTGACCAGCCAAGTGAGCTGTGGGTGCTGGGGAATAAGGTGGCAGCATAGAGGCTCCTCCCCAGCCCCCTGTCCCCTGCTTTCCCTGTCTGAGGCTGACCCAGAAAAAGTCTGACCTAATTACGGACTCAACCCTGCATCCAGCTCTGAGCCACACGCGTTCCTTTTTCACCATGGCTACCGGGAAGCTCAGCGTCAACATTTTGAATCCTCAGCTGCTGCTCCCTGCTGTTAGGGTTCTGGGGCTCACGTTTTCCTCGTGGCTTGGTCTTTTCTAGTTTTGCACTGCATTATCTCCCATCAACGGGCTGTTCTGAGTTGGGGTGAGAGACGAGCCAGGACCTCAAAGCAGTCCTGGGGTGAGCGGGTCCCTTGGCACCGCGAGTGGACAGCTGTTGTGCTCATGCACGGGCAGGTCTGGTTTCGAAGGCCTGGGCACGTACCCACAAACTTCTCGATGGCAGCCACCGCCTCCTGGTCCGAGATAACTTCCGAGAAAATAGGGTGCTCCCGAGCCAGCTTCAGGGCCTGGGCCCCCACCGTCTTCACCCCCAGGGCCTTGGCAACACTGGGAAAGTGGGGACAGAGAACCGGAGACAGGAAAGAGAGCAGGGAGGGAGGCAGAGACAGGACAGGAAGGGAGAGGAAGGAGGGGCAAGAGGGCGGAGAGGGGAGGGAGGAGCGACAGGTCAGTGGGCGAGACCAGGGGCCAGCGCCCAGCATGGACGGTTTGGGTTGGGGTTCGCAGCATCACATCCTGTCCAGCACCGACTCAGCGGCCAGTGTCTGAGGGACCCCTGCGCTTCCCTGTCGGGGCTCCAGGCTGCAGACCCCCAAGCTTAGCGCTGCTCTGCCTGCCTGTTCCTTCAAGGCTGAGAGTTGCGGCTGCCTCCTCCAAGGAGTCCACCAGGACTCCTCCTCCGCCCCAGGTCCCGTGTGGGACTCTCATTACCAAGCATAGTGCACGCTTCCCGAGAGCGTGGGGGATGCCTGGCGCGCCGGTGCTCCCCACAGTCTCTGCTGTTACAGATGGGCTTGAGTTTAGAGACGGGAGACTGAGGCACACAGCTGGCCGTCCCTAGCCCCGGATCGCACGCCTGGGGAGCGCCTTGAGCAGGATCCCTGTAGCTCCAGGACCTGGACGGGAGCTGGCGTGTGGGTGCCCCTCCCAGCTACCCCGGGAGTCGCCACTGGTCCTCTGCCCGGCCCCTCCTCGCAGCTTGCTCGGGGGCCTCTCCAGGGGCTGGGCCACCCTCGCACGTGGCCCACACGCAGCAGTTCCGGCCCGCGCTGTGGCCTAGGAGGCCAAGCACCTGCTGGCATCCCCCAGGGCGCTGGGGAGGAGTTCTTAGCGGCCCCAGGCTGCTGTCTGCCCTGTTCTCCGGCTGCACCCATGGACCTGCTCTAAAGAGGTCCCGGGCTCCCCTGCAACCAGGTGTGGTCACGTGACTAAGTGATGGCCACGGGAGGTAAGCGGGAGAATCGCGTCTGTCTTCAAAGGTCGGGGCTGAAGGGCTGGCACTGTGGTACAGCGCGTTAGGCTGTTGCCTGGGCGCCAGTTTGAGTCCCGGCTGCTCCACTTCCGATCCAGCTCCCTGCTAACGCACCCGGGAAAGCAGTGAGGATGGCCCAGTGCTTGGGCTCCTGCCACCCACGTGGGAGACCCAGATGCTCCAGGTTCCTGGCTTCGGCCTGGCCCAGCCCCAGCCGCTTGTGGCCATTTGGGGAGTGAACTAGCAGATGAAACATCTCTCTGTCTCTCTCTCTTTGTACCTGTGCCTTTCAAATAAATAAATAAATAAAATCTTAAAAAGAAAAGGGGCGGGTCTGAACCTTCTGTTTTTGCTTCCTCCTTCCTGCCAAATGGGCTGAGGGTGTGATGGTTGGTACCCAAGCAGCCATTTTGGACTGTAAGTTTACACGCTAAGGATGGTGGCACAAACTCAAGGAGCCTGGGGCCCTGGCTTCATGGAGTTGCCCCTGGATTGCTCAGATTTTAGGCCTGTTTTACAGTCGAAAGTTCCGTCCTCGTGGATCCCTCTGTAACGCAGCCCAAAGCTGATCCTAAGGAGACAGAGGACTGGGGCCAGGATCTGTCCTGCGTGTCTTAGGGGCTGAGCAAAAGGCAAACTCATGAGGCATGGGGAATGACTCACGGGTAAAGTGTGTCGCCCCTGTCCCTGTCCCGACACCCCCCGCTGTGTGGCTCTGGCAGGGGACCAAAGCCTCAGTTTCCTGGCATCCCTGTCTGTGCCCCAGCCAGCGCGAGGGGCTCCCCTGTGCTCGCTGGACACCGAGGGAGGCGCCCCCGCTGCTCACCTGGTAATCTCGGGCAGGGTGACGAGCCTGCCCGCAGCAGTGGCGGCGTGGAAGCTGTGGGCGCCGATGGTCTCCATGGCGATGATGGGCACATCCCCCCAGCCCACCTCCTGCAGGCCCCGGACCACTCCGCACAGCAGGCCCCCGCCTCCCACCGACAGCGCGATGGCCCCGGGCTTAGCACCCAGCGTCTCCTTCAGCTCCTTCACGATGGAGGCGTGGCCTTCCCTGGAGGGTGGGCAGGGGCGGGGCCGGCTCAGCTGCAGGCCTTGGGGCTGCTCCCTGCCCCACCACCCACCAGAGGGCTTTCGGTGACCCCCGGGGCTCCCTCTGGATGGCCGCCCCTCGGCTTCTCCCACGTATGCGAATTCTGCGGAGTGTGGCTCCCAGGTCATTCCCGGGGTTGAGCCCTGGCCGCCCCAGCGGGCACCTGCCTTTGGACGGGCCCTTTCTGGCTCCCCACTCCCCCTCCAAGCCTCGGCTCAGGCTCTGGTTCAGGGGCAGCCCGTGCATCGGCGTTCTGTGCTCCCTCCTGGACGGGGTTCATGTGCACGTGTGTGCACCTGCTGGTGTGTGCAGCTGTGCATGCCGGGGAGGGGCTGCGTGCAGCTGCTGTGGGTTGTCTCGGCAGAGGGGGGCGGCTGACCATGAACCCCACCTACCAGATGAGGGGGTGATCGAAGGGCGAGATGTAGACCCAGCCTGGGTTGTTCTGCGCCAAGGCCTTGGCCAGCTCGAAGGCCTCATCCAGTGTCTGTGGGGGGGTACAGGGGAGAGGTGGGGTGAGGCACTAGGCTCCCCCTGCTGCCCCCCTGGCACAGCCGCCGGCACCCTGGGCCTGGGCGGGCACTCACCTCACCCACCATCCTGACTATCTGTGGGGGCCCAGGGGAGGGGTAGGGTGAGGCACTGGGGGCCCCCTGCCCCCCACCCCTGCACAGCCGCTGGCACCCTAGGCCTGGGCGGGCACTCACCTCGCCCACCACCCTGACCATGGCGCCTTCATTCTTCAGCCTCTCCATGGTGAGGGCGGGAGTGGTGCTGGGCACAACGATGGTGGCGGGGACGCCCAGCCTCCTGGCGGCGTAGGCCGTGGCCATGCCTGCGTTGCCGGCTGCCGGGTGAGGGCGGAGCGTGCGTCAGCGAGGGGAGCGTGCGTCAGCGAGGGAGGGTTGGGGCCCGGGGCTCTGGGCTCCTACCTCCCGCTTGTCAAGGGGACCCTTGGTCTCCCCCATTGGTGCTGCTGCCAATGCCAGTGATGGTTTATTGCCAGGACAATGGGGGGGGGGTGCGTGTGTCTCCCCCCCAACCCCGCACGGGGCGGCTGGCGGCACAGGGAAGCAGGACACTCACCGGAGGAGCAGACGAAATGCTCGCAGCCTTGCTCAGCCCACTGTGGAGACAGCAGGGCACGGTCAGGCCCCAGCCGCCTCGCCCGTCCCTGCCCGCCCAGCCCGAACGCGGCCCACGCAGCAGCTTCCTCCCCCGGGACACTGGCTCAGGGGAGGGAGGAGGGCGCCGGGTGGCAGGCGGCCCCGGGCGGTTGTCAGGGGCCCTCGTGGCTGGGCGCCCCTAGCCAGGGACGGCCTCGCACACAGGCCTGCCTGGGGCTCTTGCTCCACACAGCTCTGGCCCTGCCGCGGAGCTGGGGCAGAGACCGCAGCCCGTACCGTCTTGCAGAGGTGCCCGATACCCCGGATCTTGAAGGAGCCAGAGGGCTGGGCGCTGTCCATCTTGAGGTAGACGCTGGTGCCGGCCACCATGGACAGGGCCATGCTGTCCCGGAGCGGAGTCTTCACGTGCAGGGGCTCCCCGAGTGGCATTGCTGGGCGGGGCGGAGGGGTGGGAGGCCCGGAGGGTCAGGCAGGGGAAGGGCCGGGCCGGGGTCGCGTCCCAGCAGCCAGCAGGGGCTCTGCCCTCAGCCTCACCGCCTGCTCCCGCCTCCTCCCCTGAGCTCAGACCTCAGAGCGTGAGAAGCGCCAGGCGGAGGCGGATTTGCACCTGGGGCCGATGCAGGGGGAGAAGTCCACGCGCTCCCATGTGCACAGAACCACCCAGAAAACCGCCCACGGCGCTGAGTGCGGTGGGGGAACCCCCTTCCCGCAGCTGGAACTATAAGGATGTTCTGTGTTGCTAACTGAGCCACAGCAGTGGTTACAATGTAGCCCCGGCCCCCTCCCAGCTCCCCGCCTCTGAGCCAGCTTCTCGCTGATGCGCACCCCAGGAGGCAGCAGGTGGGGGCTCCAGTACTTGGGTGCCTGCCACCCACGTGGGGGACCCAGGTTGGGCTCTCTGCTCAGACCCCCTGGCCGGGGGCTGCTGCGGGCATTAGGGGACTGAGCCAGTGGGTGGGCGCTCGCTCTCTGTCTCCCTGCCTCTTAAATGAATACATAAATAAAATTAAAAAAGGAGCCAAGCCAGAAGGCGTTCAGCAGCCATTTGTCCTCACAACAGCCCTAGGAGGGAGGGGCTTTTTGTGTCTCCATTTTACAGGCAAGGAAACTGAGGCACAGAGCTACACACACACCCAGCCACTCACTCCCAAGCCAGGGTTCTTTCGAGCATCAGATCCCCTCCCGCCTTCCTGCTAGGGTCGTCGGGACTGGCCTCCTGTCCAAGAGAGCCTGAGAATGGGGCCACTTACCTGGCAAGGCGTTGAGCTGGGCTGAGCGAGCCAGGGAGGGAGCCACTGGTATGGCAGTGGACTGACTGCTCTGAACAGCCCGGGCTCCCAGTCCCGGCTTTTATGCCTCCAGGCAGCCAATGGGGCTGCAGGGCCAGCCCCGCCCCCGCCAGGCCCTGCCCCCACCAGGTCCTGCCCCCAGGGAGCCCTGCTCACTGCCCCTCCCCCGTCTTTCCTCTTCCCCCTCCTCCCTCTCTCCCCATTCGGGACTTCAGCTTCTTCGCACGCGGAGCAGTGTAACACCCACCCCAGGACATAGGAGGACCACACGATGCCCCCGCGGGAGACGGGAGACACACTCTGCACTTGGCCCGCAGCAGGTACCCAACAAACAACAGTGACAGCAATGATGCTAATGACGCCTAACAGCCGGGGGCCTCAGCAGGTGCCAGCCTGTGGACAGTGAGTGCTGCCACATCCCGCCCTACGGAAGGGGAGGCTGGGGCGCGGGGGCTGCCCTGGCCCGGCATCGTACAGGTGAGAAGAGGCAGAGCCCAGGCCGTTCAGGCCTGCAGCCCCAACACAGGTCTCTCTCTGGTGCCTCCCCTGTCACCCTTGCACACCTCTTGGCATAAAGGGGAGGTGGGTAAGACTCAGGGGCCCGAGGTGCCCATCTGGGAGCTGTCCTTTAGTAGCTGTGTGGCTCTGGACAAGTTAGTTTTCCTCCTAGAGCCTCAGTTTGCCCATCTGTAAAATGGGGGTGATAATGGCACCTCCTTCCTAGGCTTAGAAGACATGATAGTGTATGTATGCAAGGGGCCTGGAGTGCCGCCCCCCCCCTCCCCGGCCATCACCACTACCTGCACAAAACTGGAAGGCCTTGCATCTGAAATTTCCCCTGCCCCACGCCGAGCCACCTGTGTGTCCAAGTGTGCAGAGTTCTGTCCACAAAGGCGGTGTGCACGCACACACACACACACACAAACTCTCAAAGACTGGCTGTCTCTGTCCCTGGCCCATTCACAAAGCTCTCTTGTAGGGCTGGCTGGGATGAGAGTACTGACACAGCAGGGGGCAGCTAGGGCACGGGCACCTCCTTCGGGGGGGACAGGCTGTCCCATCTTGTGGACCGCCAACCTCCCATGGCACTCCAGTACCATGTACCAGTACAGGTACCGTGCATAGGGGTGTGTGCTGGGGGCGGGGTGGGCATCATGAGGCTCACATGTGGGCAGAGCCCCCTCATGGGCCTGAGTGTATTTAGCTGGTGCTCACATTGCTGGCACCTAATCCTGTACTATGTGTTTGCATGGGGAGTGTCAGACAAGCAAGTGATGGGTGTTTGGGGTGGGGAAACAGCCTGAGACCCCCAGCTGGCAGGCACCGCTCTGGGGGGTCAGCTTGGGGGTTCCGAGGTTTGTGGGTGCAGGGAAAGGGCTGGGGTGCACCCAGCGGGGCATATGCAGACATCCTGGGTTGACGCCTGGGGTGCTGTCTCCCGCTGAGGTCGTGAAATGAGGGGGGTGGGAGAGCTACTCACGGCTGGGCAGTGTGGACGTCCCAAAGCCCCTGGGAGGGCGGGGTTTAGAGCTGTCTGTCATAGGAGCAGGAGGGCCACGCCGTCAGAGCTCTTTGTGATGTCCCATTTGTTTCCAGAACAGCACCTACGTGCAGTGATCCGGAAAACGCCAAGAGAGAAAATTCAGCTCTATGCCAGCGTGAGAACCAAAAGCCGAAAGGAGCGCTGGGTGCGCCGGCTCTGCCCACCTGCTGGGCGCGGGACCCTGACGCTGACCTGGGACCGGAGCCACCCGTTTACTAAGCATCGCGTGTACAGCACTTCATCACCCCGCGGTCACCCCGTGCCCACGAGTGACCGTCCCCCTCCTCCCCAGCCCCTGGGAGCCACCCATCCCCACCGTACTCATTCGCTCCCACCTGCCTGCTCTGCCGTTAGTCGTAGAAATGCAATCGTACAATGGGGGGGGGGGTTGTGTTGGGTTCTCTCTCTCACTTATACTGCTTTCCAAGTCCATCCGTGTGGTAACACGCACCGGGTCTCTATTTCTTTTATTTTTAAAAGATTATTTATTTGAAAGGCAGAGTGACAGAAGGGGGTGAGGGGAGAGAGAGATCTTCCATCCGCTGGGTGGCTCCCCAGATGGCTGCAACAGCGTTGCAGGCTGAAGCCAGGAGCCCGTAACCCCATCCAGGCCTCCCACATGGGTGGCAGGGGCCCAGGTACTTGGGCCATGTGCTGCCACTTTCCTAGGAGCCCTAGCAGGGAGCTGGATCCGAAGAAGAGCAGCTGGGACTCAAACCGTGCTCCAATATGGGACGCTGGTGTTGCGAGCAGTGGCCCGATCTGCTGTGCCACCACGCTGGCCCTCCACTCCCTTCTACGATCGGGTAACGGACCATCATCCGTATGCACAACACTTCGCCCCGATGAACATTTTCCAAATTCAAATCCAACTGTGGCATTGATCTGCTCTGTGACCTCCGATAAGTCGCTTAACCTCTCTGTACTTTGGTTTCTTGACCCGATAAGGGTCTCCACTTAGTAGATTTGCCATGAGGTTTAAAGAACTTAACTGATGTCGGGTTGTTTGTGCTGGGCACTAAGAGGTGATGGCCATCTTTATTTTCTGGGGTCCAAGTGGACGTCTGTGTCCCTGGCTCTTGGTGGTGGGGCACAGTTGTGTGTGTTCCCCCACTTAGATGAGCAAACTGGGGCTCAGTTCTACGCAAGACAAGAGGGCAAAGCTGGGGGACCCGGGAGGAGGGGAGCGGGAATCTGGCTGGGGAGACTGGGCCAGGTGCCTCCATCACCCCCACCTCCTGGTCCTGTTACATCACAGCTTCCCGGGAAGTGTTCCCAGGGATGGCCAGATCAGCGTGTCCCGGGCAGCAGGAGGTGGAGAGTCTGACGGTTGTGTTCCCAGTGGGGAGGAGCGGGCAGTGCTGCCTTCCTGGCCAGCCCAGGCGGCCTGCTGGATCAGCTGAGCTCTCCAGCTCCTGTGCCCCTTAGACCTGGGCTGACAACACCTTCTACCGTGTGACCCTGGGGTGGTCGCTGAGCTGGGTACAATGACACCAGCTGGATGTCGCAAGGCCTAGAGCTCACGGCCCTGAGAATAAAAACCGCCCTCAGAGTGGGGTGAACTTGCACGCTAGGTGGAGGATATCCAGGGACGTGCTGGGAGGAGATGACAGGCTGCCCCCATCCCTGCAATGCCCAGCGCAGACCCCCACAGGGACTGAGCTGGCCCCAAATAGCAGCAGTGGCAAGGCTGAGAAATTCTGCTCAGTACAATGTGGGTGACACGGACACGCTCCTCGCTCTGCCCGCCCCACCTCTGTTAACATGGCCAGCACCCGAGCCCACGCGCCTGCAGGGTGTCTTATCTGAGAGCTGATCAGGGCCAGCAATGGGCCGCCATCTGCGGACTGGGCATCCCTTATGTGCGCCGGTTCAAGTCCCTGCTGCTCCACTTCCCATCCAGCTCCCTGCTATGGCTCTGGAAAGCAGTGATGATTTGGTGTTATCCCCTGGGGGTGGGGGGGACTTATGTCTAAAACTGGCTCCCATGGCCAAGGTCAGGCTCCCAGGGCCACACTTGGCCTCTCCCCTGGGGTTACCATCACCCATCAATCAGCACGTGATGGGCGGAGCCGGCCAGGTCCCCATGCCCTACGAAGGATTTTGTCCAGATTTTCACAGCGGGATTCAGTCGCAGACCACAAACGAAGGCGTCGAAGACTCCACTCTCACTCTGTTTTCATTTGAAGAAGACCCTGAGCTCAAGGCATGGTGGGCTTCCTCTACTCCCGACCCCTCCCGGGGGCGGCGGAGGTCAAAGCTCCAGGCAGCCTGTGGGAGGGTGCCCGCCACGCTGGCCACGCCTCCCTCCTGGCCCCCAGCAGCCCGGCCATAGCAAGGACTTGGCCAGTGTCCTGGCCTGGGCCACACGCTCTGCTTCCTTGAAATCCTCAAAGAGTGCTCCTCCCCCATTTTTCTAATTCTGTTGCTGTCACTCCTGGCTTGTGGAGTGTGGAAGGGCCCCAGGGAGCAGCCCCATTCCTTCCGTGCAGCCGCACAGCCACCCCCATGGTGCTCAGTTTGCAGGGGGCCGGGGACGCTGACCCCCGGCAACCTGCCTCGCTGCACGTATGGACTCTGTTTCCTTCTCTGGCATCGTTGCTTTCTTTCCTTCTGCTTTCTTTTTCTTTTGTGAAAACAGTCTTATTTTTTATTTATTTGAAAGAAAGAGAAGAGGAAGACGAGGAGGGGGATCCAGCTCTCTGCTGTGGCCTGGGAAAGCAGTAGAAGATGGCCCAAGTCCTTGGGCCCCTGCACCCGCATGGGAGACCTGGAAGAAGCTCCTGGCTCCTGGCTTCAGATCGGCGCAGCTCCAGCCGTTGCGGCCATTTGGGGATGGAAGACTTCAATTCTCTCTCTCTCCCTCTCCCTCTCCCTCTCCCTCTCCCTCTCCTAATCTCTCTGTATAACTCTGAATTTCAAATAAATAAGTAAATCTTAAAAAAAAAAAAAAAAAAAAGTGAGCCAGGGCTGAAACCGAGTGCTCCACGGTGGGATGCAGCTGTCTGAAGCATTTGCTCACCAGCTGCTGGTTTCTCTACATCTGGACCCAAGAGGGGAGGCTGTTTTGTCTTTGTCTTAAAATCTAGGAATTTAAGGGGTGTTGTGGGTTAGCTATTGTCCCGTCCCGCAGGACGTCAACGAGGGCCGAGCACCTAGAAGGAGAAATGAAGGGGACAGGAGACACAAAGATGGCAGCAAGACAAGGGTCCTGCTCAAGCTGCGATTTTTCTTTTTCTTT